CAGCTATCCTACATTTCTCTAGGTGATCAAGGCAACTGACGGTATATACATCCACCATAGCCTCAGGCGTTATATAACCTAATTACATACCAGGATTATATACGTCAAGCGGACGAGTTGCAATGAAACACTGCAGTAGTCCTGCAGGCATCTGATACACACAAACGCTCAGAAGTGAAAACTGTGCTACTTGGGATGACAGCTCAGGAACGCACTTGCGTGTGCTGACGCTCAACAGCTGGCTCCGGGAGCGAAGTTCACCGAGATGAGTCAGGACTGACTGCCCAGGGAGGCTCAGGGATCGCGTTCTTCAACGCAGCTGGCAGCAAGCAGGTATGCGTTCCCAAAACAGCCTACCCTCCTCTCCTGACTCTGGCACCCTGTGCCTGTAGAAAAGGTGGCCAGAGGAGGAAGCAGGCAGGAGGGACAGCAGGGACAAGGACATCCTCCTGGGAGCAAGGGGTCACCAGGCCTGGCCCCTTGCTCCCAGAAGTGCCCGTGTATTTTGTTCTGTATATATATATATATATATTGACCAAATGACTCTCCGCTGCTAGGGTGGGACCCAGGACTGTCGCTTCTGCAGCAAGCACTCCTCGCCTTGGGCTGGAAGGCCACCTTCCCACCCACACCCTCATGGCCCTTGGTGGTGCACCCTCGGCTGCTCCAGGTCTCCTACGCCACTCCTGCCAAGCCACCTCCCTCCAACAGAAAGAAAAGGGAGTGCTGTACTTTTCAGACCCTCCTGCACCCCACCAAAGCCAGGCAGGAGGAACTGAACCCCATTTCCCATTTCCCTGTGAAGCTTTCTAGCCTGAGAGGTGCTTAATTTATTGGAAGTCATTTGGGTCTCTCCTTCTGGCTACATTTTCTGAATTGAAGTGGCCATATCTCCAACCTGAACTAAAACCTATCAAGGTTTGTTAGACATGCTCTCGGTATTGACAAGTCCTTGAGGACATGCATGGACAAGGATGTCAAATGGGCTTAGGGGATACATCCCTCAACACTGAAGACAGTAGCAGCCCTAGACACGAACGGCTGCAGAAGGCAGGTGCCCAACACAGCCTTATTTCACTAGCAAAAGTGAAACACGAGTGAAGTGCTGTCAGTCATTCAGACTCAGCCACATGACTTCTCTTCAGTCACACGCCAAAAGTCCAAGTCATTTCTTTTATCTGCTCTCGGTTTATCTGCCTTGTACTTCTTCATCTCAATAAGACATGTTTTTAAACAAAAAAAAAAAGGAACAGAAAAATTATCCAGACTAGTTGGAAGCAACTTATTTTTTTGCTTTTGGCCTAGAATTGCATGTGTCAGACTGCAACCCCAAATACAATTTAAAAATAGGAGAAGCGATGCAAGGAAGGTGTGAGGGTGACACAGCAGAGCTGCCTCTGCCCGGCCACGGACGGGGCACCACTCCTCAGACGGGGCTTACACGGGGACAGGAACCTCCTGGCCTCCCACCAGTGCGTCCCCAGCTGCCACCACATGCTCAGCTCCAAAAGCGCTGGTGGAATCAGCATTGCCCTTGTGGAAAAAAAAATGCATGTTTTTACCACTGTTTTGGCCCGCTTTCTCCCAGTAGCTGGATAGAGCTTGCTCTCAGCCCTGGCCTGGCTCCCGTTTTGCCAACACTAAAAGTGGAAAGGGAGATGGGTTGGGAACTCAGAGAGACCGCTAAGCCCATCGCCGAGCATCTCCTCCGTTCCCCCGGTGTTACGTGGCAGCCAGCCCACTTGTGTGGAAGGCGACTTGCCCCAGGGCTCGAGCGCAAACAGGAGATCTTTGCTCCATTGCAGAAAGCACAGGGACTGGCGCTGCAGCGGCACCGACAAGGTACCGAAACACAAAACCGGGATTTCCATGGCATTGTCATCTCTCAACCAAGCAGTACTAATGTTAGGAAATTGACTTTCTTCAAAGGAAATGGCAGGCTGAAGAGTGTCAGAAATGAGAGCCCCTGCAGAGATACATCAAAACAAGCTTCTCCTGTAACGGTCTTGTGGGAGTAGTCTCTCGGCCTGTCCTGGAAACATCTTAACCTACTGCCCTGCCTTCCACTCTGCCCTCCTTATAATTTGAAAATGAATCTCCTGAGAAGAACAGAGAACAGCACAAAAGCCCAGACTGGCTATAATTAATATTTTGATTATAACTGATCGATGTAAAAACCACCGAGCTTCCAGTGCCACATCTGGATGGATTTTATAGTGCCACATTACAACCGGTGGGAGCTGCAACGGCGCAGCTCCCTTTTCTGTACTGAGGAACATGATCCTGCCAGTAGCTGGCTCAAGGCTGGCTTTGCTACGTCAAATGCCTCTGTGAGACCTGTCCTTCCAAATCTCCTTGTATGTGTTTAATCACAAACATGTCAGTGATAAAAACCATTTTTTCACTCTGCCAGCCCTGTTACACTGTAGAATCGCCACCACTGGCACAGCACGAGCTGCTTCTGCTACTTCTGCATTCACAGGCACCATCTCAAGTCTCTATTAGTTACCCCTGCGCGACCACAATGCACATATGAAGAAACATTTTTTACTGTGAGGGTGACAGAGCACTAGCACGGGTTGCCCAGTGTGGTTGAGGAGTCTCCCTCCTTGGACATATTCAAAACCCAGCTGGGCATAGCCTTGAGCAGCCTGCTGTACCTGGCCCTGCTCTGAGCAGGGGGTCGGACTAGATGATCTCCAAGGTGTCCTCCAGCCTCAGCAATTCTGTGATGAAGGCCGCAAGGCAATTAAGAACATCACAAGACTGTGGCTGCAAAAATACAGGGTTGGGGGTTTTTTAAATATAGATAATACAAGCTATTTTGGGGAAGGAAAGAACAAGCATCATTTGTTTTTGCAGAAAAGCGGTTGTTCCATTCAGCCTATCACAAACAGGACTGCATACAACCCCCCCTGCCACACAGTCCTCTGCTAATACGACAACTCTTTAAATGCAAACAGTGGGAACGTGTTCATCTGGGGACAATGTGAGCCCTGGGCCAGCTCTCCAAAAGCAGAAGTACGAGGTCCTGCCCAGGTGTACAGCGGATCACACCACCCAGCCACAACCCCTCAGAGGCATCGGCCCGGCTCGAGGGCCTCGGGAGAGAGGCCCCTCAACCACCACCCGCGCCTGGTATGCCGCAGGCCACCAGCAGTGTCCACCACCTTCCCGGCAGTTGCTAGTGACAGGCAACAGCGTGGAGCCAGGGACAATGTCAACAGAATTGAACTGATTGAAAGGCCACCCATGTGCGCCCGAAAGTTTATCTAAGGCAGCTCAACTTCCACAGCGCATTTGTGTTTCCCAGCGGTGGTGATGAGGAACTGTAAAACTGCAGTCAGCACAGGATAGAAAGAACTGTTCATTTTGGGGATAACCTCATAATATAACTAACAGCTCCAGCTTACATTTTAAGGAATTTTGATTTGAAGAAAACTATTTATCCACCACATACAGGACATTTCTAAAGCAGAGCCTACAGAAGACCTGAAATTGTGCAACTGATACCAAAGCTTGTATCTTCTTTTATTAAGCACCTCTTCCCTGCATAGTTTTCTGTATTTGACCGACAGTCACGGTTTACCCAACGACTTCACTTTATATCACCAGATGGGAACATATCTCACAGACAGACACCTATACCTCTACGAATACCAAATTCAGAACTCAAACGTGAATCACTTACTTTAAAAGATTTTAATTAATTAATTATACGCTGAAAGGAATACAGTTTAATCAGCTTAATGCCAAGTGATGGGTGAATTGACTAAGAGGTGCATCACCGAGTGATTTACTGCAATCACTGTGAGCCTGATATTATCAGCCTAGGAGCAAGAGATAAGACATCAGATGTTCAGTGCTTCTCTTCAGTTGATTCAAGGCATACATACCATCCCCATGGTCAAACACAGATAACTATAATTCATTATAGAACTTCATCTGAAACTGCAGAAAAAGTTTGAAATAACCCTTTCCCAGACTTCTTTTACTGATTAAAATGCTAATACAGGATGTTGCATTTATAGCTGGAAGCACAACAGAAATCCATCTGCCTGTGGCTACGGAAGAGTTTGCTGCACCCCTGAATTTCACCACTACAGCATCAACCTAATCAAATGCCAGAAACCAAGGAGACACGAAAAGATGACCTATTCCAAATTATTATGTCAACTACCCTTCACTCAGAGGTACAGAAGGAACGAGACAAATACCTCAGGAGCGCCAGGAAACAGAGTCCTTTAACTTAAGGACAGCGGATAGCTAATATCTCAGTGATAAAATTAGCTCCCCGAGCAAAACTTTCAGACTACTTGCATGCTTTCGATTTTAAATGTCTGTGACTGAATCTGGCTCCATCGGGAAAGGTGCCAAAACTCAATTTTAACCATTAACATCAGGATCTTTTCCTGGTCCCCGAGCCTAGTTACTGCCCATCGTGGGGGTCAAAGGCGGCGAGTGGGGCACTTTGAATCCCGAGCAACCAAACCACCTCGGGTTTTTTCCCTTACAAAAGCTTACCCTTTTTGATTTTTTTTTTTTTTTTTTTTTTTTACCGTGGAAACACAGCTTGCTACTTTTAAGTCCCGGGTGGGTGCGTGCTTTATATTCCCTCCCCCGCCAGCGGCGCGGCGAGCCGTGGGAGTGCGAGAGCGCGGCGGGGCCCGTCCCACGGCGCTAGCCCGGACCCCCACCGCCAGCCCGTGGGGAGCCCGGGGCCCCACGCGCGGGGCCGGCCGCCCCGCTCCGCGCCCGCGGAGGGCCGGCGAGCGGCAGCCGGGCATCCCCGCCAAGCCCACCTGGCTGCTCCACCTTTCCGAGAGCGGAGGCCCCACGCAATTCGCGCGGGGGGGCAGACACTAGGGATGCGATGTGTATGTGTGTGTGTGTATCCGCCGCGCCGCGTCCCGTCCCCGCGCCTCCCCGGGAGAAGGTCCCGCGTGGGCGCGGGGGGACCCGCCGCGCCCCCCCCCCCCCCCCCCCCTCCGCGTACTCACCGCGGCAGACACGGCGCTGAGCCCGGCGCTCAGCAGCAGCCCGAAGCCCAGGCAGAGCCGCATGCTGCCGCGCACCGCACCGCGCCCGCGGTCCCTGGGCGGCGGTGGCGCCGGCGGCTCAGCGTGGGGCTGCTCCGCGGGGCCGGCCCCACATGCGCGGCTCTCCCCTCCGTGGCGGCCGCGGCGCTTGTAATGCCTCGGGGGCGAGGGACTCTCCGCGCCGTAACCGATGGGCGGCGGCAGCCCCCTCTCCTCCCCCCGGGCGGGGACCCTGGGAGGGCGCAACCTCGCCCGCGCCCGCGCCCCGCCGGCCGCCGTTCCTCCTCCTCCTCCTCCTCCTCCTCCTCCTCCTCCTCCTCCTCCCCGCCGCGGGTGGGTGGCAGGCCGGCGGCGCGGGGGGGAGGCGGGCGGAGTTGGGGGGGGGGGGGTGGGGGGGGTGGGGGGAGGCGCGCCGCTTCCCTCGCCCCACACCGCCGCTGCCGCCCGGGAGGGCAGGGCAGGGGCAGGGCAGCGCGGCGCGCAACGGTGCGGAGCGGGCGCGGAGCCGGGCGGCGGGAGGGGCGCGGGCTCTGCGCGGCCCGTCCGGGGTAACGCGCCCCCGCGGGACGCCGCCGCTCTCTGCGGGGAGCGGAGCGGCACCCCCCCCCACCCCACCCCACCCCTTTTTTCCCTTTTTTCCCTTTCCCCTTCCCTTCCCCTCCCCCGGGCCGGTGGGGCCGCTCCCTGCCCCGGCGGCGCCGGGCGCGGAGATCTCCGCCGGCGGGACCGGCGTTACGTGCGGGCTCTGCTTTGCCTTGCAGGGGCGGCTGTCCGGCGGGGGGGGCCCTGAGCCGAGCCCCCGGGGCAGGGAGGCAGCGGAGATGGACGTCTCGCAGCTCCCCAGCGCGAGTGGCTCTGTTCGGCAGTAAGTAATTCCGCTCGGCAGGCTTCTTTTGGAAATAACTCTTTTTAAAAGTCGTGTGGTCACCTTGAACCGCAGAGTTCCGTCACGTGCTTGGTTTGTGCTAGCCTAAAACAATATCGTGCTTATTCACCTTTCCCCGCAGGGATCTGGGGCTTCTGCTGATCCTGATGGAAGTCGTGCTGTCAGCCGTCAAAGTGGACGCCGTAAGTAAAACGTCTTATGGCTTTTACTGAGGAGAGGAGGAAAAAGCAGTTTCCTTGGTACCAGAAAGTGAGGAACTGCGTTTCTTTCTTTGCCAGATGGCTTATCTGTCCTTCCGTTAAAAGAAACAAGCAACAAATCATCTCTGCAAGCATTACAGATTACTGCCTTCGACAAAATGATGTTAAGCAGGGAAGCGTAAGGCTTCAGCGTCAGGTTGTTTGAAGTATTCCGCTGGTACTTCTGCTCAGATTGGGTAATTTGTTAAAGCAATAGTGGAGCAAGCCCCACAACTTCTTAATTTCTGTAAGACAAAACACCAGAAATGCAGTGCTGTACATACCAGAGAACACTTTGGAGAAGTAAACCTGCAGATGAAATGTCTTCAGTTAAGTACAGACCTCATCTGAGAAATAAGAAGTTGAAGCCATGGCTCATTTTTACAAAACAGAGGCATGTTTATAAATAAATGGATGTATAAATTAAATCGCTAAATCCTAATATCAGTAAGTTTGGCTACATAGGTGGTTGGATGCTAGGTGTTGAAGGAAGCAGAAGTTAGTAAACTCTTGGGTCACTGTTACAAGGATGTGAAAGAAGTGTGAGATAACATATACAGGAGTGCAACATTTGCCTGTTACAAAGCTTGGTGAATTTAATGGAAAGATTATCATTAATGCGAGTAGGCTTTAGATCAGGCCTGAATACAGCGGACTGAAAGGTTGCTAAGACTTGTCTTGTGGCTGCATTTCTCAGCCACCAAGTGTGAGTAAGGCTTTGTGGTCATGCACAAGTGGGACCTTGATTACGTTTTTTCAACAGGTATCCTACTTGTATTTTAATCCTCCTGTCTGCAACTTCCGCTGCTTTTTTTATGACTTTGCACTCCTTACAGATGTCTGATGTGGTTACATCTTTGTGGTGAGATGGCATAATACATGCAGGAATGGAAAGCGATAGGGCTTTTGCCGCAAGTGTTGCGGCACATGATAATTCTGCGCTCAGGCTGCAGTTGGCACACAGAGCTTGCCCGTTGATCTGCACGGCTGGTTGGTCTCTCCCCATCGTGGCTGAGCGAGAGGCGGCAGGCTGGGGACCCACGTTCCCATGGGAGGGGACACGAGCGAGGACCTCGAGTGTCACGTGCTGCTTTTCTTTGCCATGTTTTCATGGAAACACCATTCTGCTAAATGGGTGATATTACCACGTGCTATGGAAACCAGAGCAGGCTGGTGGCAGTGCAAGTGCTTTAGGCCCAGTGATGGAATCACTGGGATCACTGGACAGAAAACGGTGGCATGTGTGCTCTGACTCTTCTTTTTATGGAGTCGTACCGTAACGTGCGTAGCGTGATACCTGAGCTTTAGCTGTAGCATGGGCTAACTCATTCTCCTTCAGGTTCTTGCTTGGAGACCGCAGGCTGAGGCGTTAATGTAGCGGAACGCCGAAGAGGTGTTCGAGCTGCCTTGGTTAGTGGATGCAGCCTGGTCATGGCTGCTTGGATCTCCACGTGCTGATTTTCCCAGAGTGTCTTGGAAGAGTAAATTGGCCTGCGTGGAGGTCTAACTTCACTGATTTAACAGCTCCTGAGGTGGTGGCTGTGTAGGAGATGAAACACCCCAGTGAATGTGAATGAGGAAGTTTGGTCATGTTTCCATGAAAAATTAGAGCTGCGTTGCCACCGAAATAGTTATCCCATTTTCTACCCATATGCCACTCCCTTCCCCTGGCCAGCACAGGTCTTTCTGTAGTCATGTGGTGAACTGAATTGGAAAATTACTTGCTTAAACTAATCAGTACCCCAAAAGAGAAAAGAGGTGAGAGCTAACTTTAGCCTGGATCAGATCACCGCTTGTATTCATAGAAACTTGGGCTGGCACGGGACTGGGAGCAGGCGGCTTGGAGGTGGAAGGAGGCGTGGGCTTGCTCCTTGCGGTGACAGCTCTGGTCGTGTGTGCTTGCAAAGTGACAAAGTAGGCGTGCGTGGGAAGCAGCAGCACCTGAGTAATTGCAGGTGGGTTGCTGGCAGTGGTATGCTTTATACTGTAATCCTGCTTGTCGCACTGAATCTTCTACTATTTGTTACAGAGATTAATGTGCTAATGTAATGAAGTGTTTTATTAGTTTGGATTAAAAAAACTGTTATGAATTATTAAAGTCTCTGGGACCAGATCTGAAAAGTCACGGTTCTGCCTGTGATGAGACAAGCATAGCTGCTGAGCTTGACAGCCGTATATGTATGTGAATGAGTTACAGCTGCTGGAGAGAAGTGGTGAATGAGTGAAATTGCACATCGGAAGAAACTAAAATGAGATTAAGGAGCAAGCCAGGAAGGAGGGAGAGAGAAAGAGGGGAACTCAGACCATTTGACTGGAAGTCTTGCCTGGCAGGCTGCTGCTGGATGTTAGGGAGACGGATGTTTCTCAGCAGAGAAAGAAATGAGAGGAAGAAGAAGAAGGAGGGTGTTTAGGATATCTTGAGGCCTGGGGAAGAAGAAGTGGTGTCTCTGGCAAGAGGACAGGATACTGGGTTAGAGGCTTGAAGAGAACTAAGAGGAGTCCCTGAATGGAAATACTAGGAGAGACAGCCAAATGGAGTGGATCAGGCCCCAGTTATCTTTAGCACTTTTGACATACACTGGCTAGTGATGTTAAAGGCCTCAAATAACTTTGGATCTACTCTAAATTGTAGATTTAAGAATTCATGTGGTTTAAATAAATAAGTTGTGTTAACTACCCAAAGTTTAGCCAAGTTTGCAGATTTCTTTTCCCTCTTTCTATCCCTGCAGCTGTATTGCATCCAAAATATAATTATTGGATTTTTTTTTCTTTTCAGAGAGAATGTATTTTCTGCTAATCCTGATTTTTTTCTTTGTCTTTCTCAAAGAACACTTCTTCCTAAGTAGTTCTGTAACATTTGATTACTTTATTGATGCCCCTTTAGTATATTTTTTAAATCACCCTTACTGAAAATTACTTTTTTTTTTTTTTTTTTTCCCCCCAAGCTATATTCTGGTGGGAGCAATGGAATGCCAGGAAAGAAGGGAATGGCTGTTAGATAAAAGAAAGAAAACTGGGAGAGAAGAAGTTAGAATAACATTTGCAAAAATAACTACGAGTAACAGATCACAACTGACATTTTAAAAGGAAAACAGATATAGATATATAGAGAGATTTATATAGAAAGAAAATAGAGTCAAAGTAGTGCATGAGGTATAATTCTCTTGACTTCTGTGACATTGTAAGGGGATGTATTAGGGGGAATAGTGTTAAATGGGGAGAAGCAACAATCCTTAAAAAGAGAGGATAAAATCAATAGTACTATGTACTTCTTTATACCATCAACTTCATAGTGAAATTAGATTGCTGACATGGATGCCTAAGTTATTGCTCTAAATTAAAATGTGTCAATGCTTTGTGTCTATCTTACATCCAGGTTTTCCCAGATGTGTACTGTTTTATTCCATCTGGAAACTTTTGTCTGGTTGAAACAGGAGGATTTTCTACATTAACCCAGAATTTCCAGGCTGAAAGAAGCCAAGGTGGAGTAACCACGTGGCCCATCCTGCTGGGCATGTCCACTGTGAATGTATGCACTAGGATCACAGTGTGCGGAATGTAATAGTGCATATGTACTGCCCGGGTGATCTAGGAGTGAGTTGTCAATCTGACGTATCAATTTTTTCTGCCACATTACTTAGTGCATGCAAAGTGAATCCATCTCTCCCTGGAAATCCTAGACTTCCTACCTGTGCAGTGCTTCAGAAATAGCTCATCACAATCCTGTTTTAGAACTACTTCATTTGAGGCATTTTCACACTGGCAGACACGGCTTCTTTATGTCTGTTTAAGTAAGTGTACAGTTTAGCTCATCTTTGAGTAAGTGTGGCGTTCCGTAAGTAAATTGGACAGAATAATGATACTTTGCAAAAAAACATCATTTTAGGGAGCCACCCAGCATATCTGATCACTTGATTCAAAATTTCTTTGAACCATGAAACAATTATTGGATAGTTCTGAGCAGACACTTTCTACATTCAGTCATGGAGCTGTGAAGAAGGGGCGGCTCTGTAAAAGAACTATGAAAAGTCCTGAGTGAAGGAGATGCCATCTGGGCAGCTAAATAAGGCAAAACCCCGTGCTTTCACCAATACCAGCAGCCATGCCTTGATCTGGCAGTGGTGTTTCCAT